CTGTGTAGGTCTAGCTCTGAAATTCTAGGAATTATGACTATTGTAGTCACATTTGTTTCTTGGTGCAGGTACACCAACAGATGATGGAGAAGGTCCTTTCTGCTTATACTGGAAAGAAGACCGGTTCACATTACTCTTTTGCTGCCCGGATTCATTCCATGATGTCTTAGCCCTCTTATTCTTAAACCCTTCTCTATCCCTCAGTTTGTCCTCCTCAACTTGTTGCACAAAGATCATCAGCCTTGCTATGCCCATGTCACCTATTAGCATAGTTGCCTTACTTTCCTAATCTGACAAACGAGGCAGCCCAACAATGAATAAACTCATCCTGCTCCTCATGTCGGCAACCATCTTTTTACTTTTCTTAGCTCACGAGGAAAGAAACACCTCATGAAAGCACTCTCAAAACAGTCCAACTCACAATCGGTTACGCGCAAGCACGAGTTAGAAAGAAACTTTTTACAGATAAAACTCTAACGCACGAAATGAGTATGAAATAAGTGAAGGAATTTCCTAAATGTTGCAGCCTCCTAATTATAGATGTGGCGCGCTTCACACCGATAACTAGGACTCTACACATATGGCTTCATAGACTCCCTAGGACTCTTGAACTCTATACTCTGATACCAAGTTTGTCACACCCTTGGAGGGAGTAGCACTCGAGAACCATTGCTAGCCCCAAAAGAACCCTTGGCCTGGCTTACTTACTCAGCAGAAGACTTAAACATAAGAAATATAACTCATGCAATAACTTAAAAGATAATAACTTAGCCAAAATGGCAACTCAAGTCTTAAAGGTATACAATTGAAATGAATAAGACTAAAGAATTATTACTATCTATCTATGAAGCCTCTAAAACAAAGAGGGATGTCGGGACAAGACCCCCGATCATCCTAACAATGAAATACTAAAAGCAAATGATAAAAGGATCCCTCCGGAAAGCTAGGAGGCTCACCAACAGACTCTGAGTTCTCAACTGGATCAATGAGGCAATGGGTGATGATCCTAGTTACCTGTGTCTGCATCATAATACGATGCAGGCCAAATGGCATTAGTACATTGAATGTACGAGTATGCGAGAGGAAAACTGAACATAACATAAGCTTGAAAGAATCTGAAAGAAACACTTACCTTGGCTTTACTCAACTCATGAATAACTTAACTCAATATAAGCAATAAAACACAAGCAATATATGGAAAGCTTTATAAAACTATAGAAAGCAACTTAGTTCGTTAAAGAAAATGCAATAACAAACTCAATTTTACTTATATAATAAAGTAATATAGTTTATGTGGGAGTTTCTCTAATCGACAACCATCACTATGAGCCTAAGTGGTGATACAACGTCTTTCCCACGCTGCCAGAACTGTCCTATACTTTTCCTTCAAATAGGACACCTTAACTAAGTGGATCCACTAGTCTATGCTTAAAAGCACTTAAGGAATCATCTAAAAAGTATGATCCTTTACTACTCATGATGGCTACTTGGTTTAAGGAGACTTGAGTCATTATAAACTCGCGTCCCCATATCGGTGCTCAATACTACTCCAAAAATGTACTTAGCTCATATGTTTTTAGAACAAAACTTCTTTCTTTGGTTTGAGATAATTACTCAAAACTTAGCTTAAAAGCTCTCTTGGAATCGATGTTCCCTTTCTTTCTCAAATGTGAAAACATTTCTAACTTTTAGGAATACTTAGTTCCCGTATAATCTTTGAAGAAATGAACTTTACTCTTAACTCTTTAGTCAACTCGAAACTTAAGTATTAAGACAAAGTTAAAACGTTTGCGAAAAACTTTTGAAAACTTTATGAACTTCTCTTGACTTGCTTCTTAACTTCTAGAATTGACTCTTCACTTTCCTTGAATTGAATTAGGGATTCAAGGTTCATGATCTCATGTTTATGGATGATTTCATGATGTTTAGACGTACCTTAGAGTGTTGGAATCAACTAGAAAACATAGGTACGTTGCTAAGGAACTAGTACAGAAAGAAGGGGGAAATGGGATGAGCTGGCATCCTTGGCGCTTTGAGAGGCGTGGGGCACCAGAGCCCAAAGTTCAAAGATCCCTGCTTGGGGCTCTAAGAGGGGCGACGCCCCAGAGGCAAAATATCAGAGGGTTCTTCTTGGGGCTATGAGAGGGACGACACCTCAGGCCCCTATTTCGACTTGGTTCTTCCCCCCAAACACTTAGAAACAACTTATTCATCAATATATGCAATATTTAACTCGAATTCAAACCTAATAACATGAATCAATCTCAAGAAACTTCAACAACAAGAACCCACAAGATTCCAATTGAATTATCATCAAGAACTCATAGGATTTACTTTCAAATCAATATAACTTTGCTGAATTGAATCATGATTGGCGCGTAGGTGAACTGACCCAACGCTATGTGATCTCACATACCTCGTAGGATTGAATCCTTGGCTAAATCAATAACCAAACTCGAACATTCTTGACGATTCTTGATTTCTCCTATTTTCTCTTTTCTCCAAGCCCTAGCATGAACTTCAACTTTTCTAAACTAACTAAAATCTGATTTTACCCCAATTAAACTCCTAAAAACGAATTAAAACAATTGGGTAAGGAAAAGACTAAAATACCCTTCCAAAATCCAGATTAGACTTTCCTTATTTGAACAGCCCAACTTCAAATGGGCATATCTCACTCATACGAACTTGGAATCGCGCAAACTCAGCGTCGTTGGAAAGATTATTCCAAGATCTTTCCTATGGTAACTGGAAATACACCTAACACATGCTGAGCTACGAGTTATGGTCATTTGAAGTTGACTAAAAACTCAACTTAACATGCTTAAAAAATTTCCATATTTCAATTCTTTCCAAATGTGACTATTTCCAATTCTTAGCTTCTTCCTAGTTATTTCAATTTGCGAGATGTTACACTTTGTTTTGAGGAAATAACTGTATTTTCCTTATACTTGTTTATTCTTTAAGGTCAAAGTCCTGGATAATAAAGAAAAGTGGGATGCTATATATTTAGTAGGGGTGTACATGACCGGATTGGTTTGGATTTTTCAAATATCAAATCAAACCATTTGTGTAAAAATTTTAAATTTATAAACCAAACCAAACTAACAAAACTCGCGTTTTTTTTTTAGCTTTTCAACCTCGGATTGGTTCGAGTTTTTCAAATATTAAACCAAATCATTTGTGTCAATTTTTTTAATTCTTAAATCAAACCAAACTAATAAACCTTGGGTTTTTTCAGGTTTTTGAATTTTTCCAGTAAAGTATTCATACAAACATATAATTAACTTGTGCTCCAAATATTTATTTATAAGTCCAACCAAAATACAACTATCTAAGGTGTTTCTTAAGAAAATAACACAAAATATGAGATGAGTGATGACACTAAAATATTCAATAGAAAATAATAATGAAATCATATAAAATAAATATTGCAAATTGATAAGTCATAATGAAAAGATCATAATTTAAAAGTACTAAATCATGCAAAAATAAGTCTAATAAGTATTAATTACATGATTAAACATTAAAAAAAATTAAAATTAGATTATGTATTTTAAATGTCTAAACCAATGTAAAACTAAAGAACAAATATTCAACATTGTTGTCATTCTTAGTGTTGAATTAATTTATTTTATAAGCATTAGTATTGATTTAATTTCAAATTGAGCTTTATTGGAGTTACTAATATCTATGAACTATAACCTTTATTGGACCATTCAAAATTTTAAGTCTCAAAAAACTTGAAAAAATATGTTAAAACATAAAAATTATGAAAACGTATAAGTAATATTTAAAAATTACATCAAAGTAAATACTTTTATATATTAAATAAATTTTAAAAATTATATATATATAATGTCGGGTTGGTTTGATCTCGGGTTGACTTTTTTTTAGTTAAAACCAAACCAATTCAAGTATATTCGGGTTTTTTTTTCAATACCAAACGAAGTCAAACCAAACCATTCATCGAGGTTTTTTTCGATTCAACACGATTTGCAATTTGATTCGATTTTTGGTTCGATTTTGTACACCCCTAATTTTTAGGATATCTTGTTTACATTGTGCACTTAGGGCCCGTTTGTGATCGGCTTAAAAAAGTAACTTTTAAATCAAAAATAAAAAGTCAAACTGAAATGACTTTTAAGTCAAAAAATAAAAAATAGGGGGAGACCTACTTTTGGTTTTTGACTTATTTTAAGTCATTTTAAACTTATTTTAAGTAATTTTTGACCTTGTCAAACACTTCTCAACTTATTTTAAGTCATTTTGACTTATTTTAAGTTATTTTTTTATATTTGTCAAACATTTCCAAAAGTCAAAAATTGACTTTAAAATAAATTTGACCAACTTTTAAATCAATCTAAACACCCTCTTAGTACAAGATAGTAGAACTAATATAGAGAATCTGGTTTCAGTATTGAAGGTTGTACTATTTGGTGTTTAGGCTGAAAATCATTTAAGACACTCTTCAACCCCCTCTAGTTTCCAAATGATGTACCAAAGCAACACTTATTTTTTAATGAAAATTGATTAATTTAATTAAACTCACCTTAGAAATTAAAATAGAAAATTTTTATTAAAGATGACATTATTTTTATATTCAAGCTCAAGATTTCTAATTAAAAATTAAAAAAACTCGAAGTCTTTTAGAATAATTAATTTTGGCAGAAACTTTCTCCACTACCACTATTAATTAACTGGATCATTCACAAATGTACAAAACGTAAAAATCTAGAGCAAGAAAACAAAAAAACAAAGAAAAAGAAGGCAAGAAGAGTGTGGTAGGTAGCCAAAAAGAGAACGTGTCACAAAAATGTGTTGCAAAATTTGTGAATGTGTTCAAACGTGTCACAACATGCAATGCTACGTGTCTCTAAACTTTAGCCCCTCCATTTCCCATGCCATATAAATGTCCTTTAATTTATTTTTTTCTTTTATAGTATAGTATCAAAAATCTACACCTCGCTACAATAATAGATACGTTTCGATAGAAGTTAAGATGGCTCAGATGACAATAGACCCACAAGGTGAGAAAATTGAATCTTTTGTACTGTTGAGTGGTCACAAGATTCCTGCTATTGGTTTGGGCACTTGGAGAGCTCATAATGCAAGGGATTCTGTTTATACTGCTATTGTTGAGGTACTCTACCTCGTCCCATTATACATAATTATATTGTATCATATTGATATGTTAAAAGTAATATTGCGAATTGATTATATGTTGATTTGTGTAGATGAAGTAAATTAATAATTTGATTCAACTAGATAAACAAGTATTCATTAGTGGTTTGGTTTAATATTGAGAAAAAAAAACTCGATCATAGTAATTTGGTTTTAACTATAAAAAAAAACAAATTGAACCAACTCAACTCGACGTTTCATGTATACATTTTTTAAAATATTTTATCATACATAATAATATTTATTGTAATATAATTTATAATATTTTTTGAACTTTTTCATATTTTTTTGTCTCTTTAACATATACAAGTTCGGATCAAACTTAAAATTTGAAATGATTCAATAAATATTATAGCACATATATATATTAGTAATTTGAATAAAAACTCAAATCAGAGTCAAATCAATATTAATAGTAACAAAAGAAATTCAATTCAGCAAGAATGACAATAATATTAGATAGTGGATTGTTTGGCCAAGAAAACAAAAGCACTTTATTCGAAATTTTCAAAGTTGATGTGTGTTCGGTATACTTTTTGCAAGTACTTTAAAAAAAAAAAAAAAAAAAAAAAAAAACCTAGCCACCTAGGTGTACGATTAACGGTATGGTATTTTCGATTAAAAAAATTATCTATCAAATTAATTTGGTATGGTTTGGTATTTTCAAATCTCATTTTGAAATTTTGTGTTACTCTAAATTGATAATTACAGTTTGTTCAATTTCGCTTACATATACTCATATAATAAATAAAGAAGTATGACTTTGATTTTTCGCCTCATTCATTCTGGTGCGTGTGAGTCACTTAGAATGTTTTGTGATCTTCATTCCCCAAGGCTTGTCCTTTGGAGCATGAAACCCAACCTTTTAGCAAATTTGATTATTTAAAACTGTTTTTTTATGAGAATTTATGCTCTTGACTATGGCTGCAGGCTGGCTACAGGCATGTTGACACAGCGGCAGAGTATGGAGTCCAAGATGAGGTTCTTTTTCATTTGTGATTATTGCTTTTAAGTTGTTGAATTACATCAAAGTCGCATTATTATGTACAAGTTGTTTAGCATACACATACGATCGAGGCTTAGTTTTCTAAACAGAATTATTGTGCACATAGTTTAAAGTTTTCTATAACAGAATTGGTAAATAGATGTCATTTTAGAGAGAAAATGACATAAATAGTCCTTTAACTATAGGAGTAGGTCTAAAATGGTCTCTTAATTATACACTTAACGGATTTAGTCCTTTAACTATTCAAAAATTTATCAGCTTTTGTCCCTTAACTATACACTTATCGGTTTTAGTTCCTTAACTATAAACTTACAGATTTTACGAGAAAATAAATCTTTTAGCAATTCTTTCTATTGTTTCTCTCTCTCCGCTACTTTTTCTTCAAATTAACCTTATGCGAAGAACATTAACCTCAACGATTTAAAATAAAATTCACGAGAAAAGAAAATATAAGTCATAATTTTATTCAACAAAGGATAAAATGAAGCATATTATTGCTACTAATGACTTGAATATGCTAAACTTTATTATAAAAAGAAAAAAAATTATTACTCGTTAAATCCAAAGTTTGTACTCCAACGACTTCATTGACGAAATTTGTTTAATTTTTCAGAAATTGAAATTTATAAAATATAGATTTGTAATTTACTTTTATTTTTTTTAAATAGATCAATTTTATTATTCTATTCATTTTATTTTACGTAAAGAAATTTGAGTAAATTAAATAAAATCTGCATTGATTAGCATATTCAAGTGTGGATTCAAATCATTAACAACAATTATATGCGTAATTTTATCTTCATTGAATAAAATTAGGAATTATATCTTCTTTCCTCATTAATTTTATTTTGAATCGTTGACGTTATTGCTCTTTTCATGAGAGTAGTTTGAAGAAAAAAGAGCGGGGATAGAGAAACAACTTAAAAAATGGGTTAAAGATTTAATTTCAAGAAGATTTTCGTTAATATAAACCTAAGCTATTTGTATTTTTAAAATGGACAAAGACCAAATTTGATAAGTTTTTGAATACTTAAAGGACTAAAACCGGTAAGTGTATAGTTAAGGAACCAAATTAAAGCTGATAAGTTTTTGAATAGTTAAAGGACTAAATCCATTAAGTATATAGTTAAGGGACCAAATTAAAGCTGATAAGTTTTTGAATAGTTAAAGGACTAAATCCATTAAGTATATAGTTAAGGGACCATTTGAAACCTACTTCTATAGTTAAAGGGACTATTTATGTCATTTTCTCTCATTTTAGACATTTAGGATCGACGGGCAAGTATGAAATTTCATCAGCTTAAACAGATGTTTACCGATCTTATAATTTGTAGTTAACAAGATATATACATTTGTGTTTTGTTCTTATATATAGGTTGGTCATGGAATTAAGGCAGCTATACATGCAGGAGTAGAGAGATCAGCCTTATTTGTGACATCTAAACTATGGTATTATGCTTTAACTTATTTTAAATCTCTAGGATTTTTTTATACATCCAACGTGCAATTAAACGAATTAAGGAGATATTATTGATTGTTTTAGGTGTTGTGATTTGTCACGTGAGAGAGTTCGACCTGCATTGATGAAGACACTCAATGAATTGCAACTGGGTTATCTTGATCTCTACCTGGTACGACTTCCTTTTCGCAGTATTTAGTTGGGTAGTTTTGAAATCTAATAGATGAATGAATCTGCAAATTTTATGTTGAAGATTCATTGGCCCTTCCGTCTCAAGGACGGAGCTAGTAGACCTCCAAAAGCAGGGGAAGTGTCTGACTTCGATTGGGAAGGGGTTTGGAGAGAAATGGAGAAGTTAGTGAAAGATAAACTCGTACGAGATATTGGAGTATGTAATTTCACTGTCAAGAAACTTAAAAAGCTTTTAGATATTGCACAGATAATGCCTTCTGTATGCCAGGTTAGTTGAATATTATATTAATTCTCGTCTTTCAATTAATCGTATCGATGTCCTCCTCTTCTTCCTTTTTTTCATATTACTGATCAGATGGAGATGCACCCTGGATGGAGAAATGAAAAAATGTTGGAAGCTTGCAAGAAAAATAATATTCACGTCACAGTAAGTAACTGAAACTTTATGCATAACAACATATATTAACAATGATTTGGTAGCTAACAAGTTTCAAATGTAATGAACTTGAGGTAGGTACTACTAATACCTCGCGGAGTTGAGACTTGTATATATTTATTTATGCCTGAGGTTGTTTGCATCCACTTTTTTCAGGCGTATTCACCTTTGGGTTCGCGAGAAATTGATCTAATTCATCATCCTGTAGTAGAGAGAGCAGCAGGAAAACTAAATAAAACGCCGGGGCAGGTGCTAGTGAGGTGGGCTATACAAAGAGGAACGAGTACAATTCCGAAATCAGATCTCTCAGAAAGAATAAAAGAGAACATTAAAGTGTTTTCATGGGAAATTCCAGAGCTAGATTTCCAAGCTATTTGTGATGTCCCAGATCAGGTACTTCTCTCTTGTCATTTAAAAGTTCGTTATTACCAGTAGTTTCTACGTAAACAATAATTGAATTCTCGATGTGGATACTAAATAGTTGGGTTTTCATTGATTGTTTGTGCAGATGCGAGTATTAGATGGAGAAGAATTGTTTGTGAACACGAGTGATGGGCCTTACAAGAGCGTAGCAGATATTTGGGACCACGAAATCTAATTTAAGTTTTTTCTTCAGTTTGCCTTGTTTTAGTATATATATATTTCTTTCGCCCTTATTAGCTTTTAAAATAAAATAAGATGAAATGTTGTAGTTGGATGATAATAGTAGGTAATACTACTATATTAATCTTTGAATATATTAAATTTAATGCTTTAGGAAATATATGTATTAGATATTGAATAATTATATTTAATATCAAAGGTAAAATAGACACAAAATGATAAGTTATATCTTGATTTTTCAAACTGAATAAGTATTTTGCTAGAAAATTATTTTTAATATAGTTGATAAGTAAAGATAGACCGAGCTTCATTTTAGCATGCAGTTCCGTTTCTTCAGTTTTATGCTTCATGGCGTAGTTGTGTCAATATATCCTAGTATTAAGTTGGAGGTGGCAAAATTAGTTTATTAAAATGTTAGTATTAATTTGTCCATATATTAGTTGAGTCTAGTAAAATTGGGTCAATATTCAACTCAAATTGATTTTCTAATCGTGATACACACTATTCCCAATTTTAAAATAGCGTAAAATAGAATTTTAACTTCTTAACTATTTTCCTAATTTATTCATTCACTCCAATTAGCTCACTTCCTCTCCTAATTCTTTGTTCATCACTTAACTCTCTCTCCTTCTTCCCTTACTCCCATCTGAAATTGAATGGAAAATGGAGCATTACAAATCAGATTCTTTGAGTTTGATAACTAATTCAATTATTATTTGAGTCATGGCTCATGCTCTTGATTTTCATCCTCAAAAATCTCAACCAATCTTCACAATAACGACAAGATTAACGCATCACTACGTAAGAAATGACTTTTAGTGGTGATTAATTAATGGTAATAACTTAATTGTCACTAAATATTTATTTTTAGCAGTAATTAGCACTCAATGTATATGTCTCTAAAGTTTTTAGCGACATTGATTCTAATGACATTTAATTAATGCCGATAAAAACTTTAACACTCTTTATTAATATGTATATTTATTGCCGTTATAAAGTTATTTTTGTTATAGTAACGGTGAAATCATATATGAATCTCTACAACACACCATTGTATGTTTCTAGGCATTTTAATTACCTAAGCATGTACGAATAATATATTTGGTGTGTATCTAAGAATGTATCATGTAGCTGAACATGTATCTGAGTTGCACTTGCACCCATATTGTATCTTGTATGTATCTGTTAATGTATTTAAGTTGTATATGTGTATCTAATATGTACATGAACTCATGTATCTAAATACTAATCGAGTATTAGACTCATAGCATCATAAATAGTGTAAGAAATTTAAGTTCTTGAATATCTCAACAATACAGTGATAATCACTTGTCATTGTGTATTTCATAAAGCTTGAAATTCGAATTAACATAAACAATTATTGGAGAAAAAATTCAGGGAAAAAGTAGTGAATTTTTTTTATGCTCGGAAAAAATGGGAAGAATTTTGAATTTTTGATTTTTTATGGATCAGGGATACAACAGATACTCTTGAATCATTATATGCATGATTTGCTCCTAAACTAATGTCTTTCGATTACATTTCATATTTAAATACACATAATTAGATATATCTGATTAACATATATTCGAAATATATGTATTTGAATAGCATGAGAAATTTACTAAATTTACATCTAGTGGAGCAGTGGTTCACATAGGATGGTTCCCTAGTGGAAATATACTAAGTTTACTAGTTGACAAGAGATTGGAAAAGGAAATATAAAAATATGACATTTAGAATTTGAAATTGGTAGTATAACACACTACACATCCCTCTTGGCAAAAGGGTAATGTTTATGATTTTTTCATATTCACATGTAAATGATTTTTTGGAGATCGATTAAATAGGCTTCAAAGCCCGTTAATTGACCCCCTTTTTTTAATCTCGTTGACATAGATTATTAAAACTCCATTGCAATTTGCAGCAGACATGTGCACCAAATCCAACCTCCCCCACACCCACCTTTATAATTTTTGTTCATGATTGCAAATAAAATGATTGTAATTAAACAAAACTAACTAAACTTCAACCATACATAACTCAAAGTTCAGATAAATTGAGAAGATCAATAATTATTTCCTGGAGCAAAAATGCACCAACTTCTTTACTCATGCAACTTTAAACATTTTTGTATAAAGAAGACTAAAATTTGATTGACTGAATCAAGCTTTGGAGAACGCAGGCCGACTGTACAAGATTGGGGTCTAAAGTCAAATTTCGTATTGAGATCTTATTTTTTTAGTTCATAGATATAAATTGAATAATTATAACCTACACAATGTGATCCTATAAATGAGGTTTGGAAAGGTAGGATATATATATATGGACATTATGAAGTAGAGTTGTTGGCAAAAAACATCCTTAAATTATAGAGTAAATTTTAGGTTTAACAAACATAAAAACCATATTTGTATGCTATACTTATAGTTTGTATAATTGTGCTCCATAGAAAACTTTATGTTTGTTATGGCTATTAATCTGTATATTTCGGTATACATATACATAAAAAAATATGTATTTGGGTCTATTTGTATATTTCGGTATACAAATGGGTCCTGCATTTGTATATTTCGGTATACAAATGGGTCTTGCATTTGTATATTTCGGTCTATTTGTATATTTCGGTATACAAATGGGTCCTGCATTTGTATATTTCGGTATACAAATGGGATGGCAAAAAACATGGAATGTTTGCTGCGAATTACAAATAAAAGAAACTATGGCTATAGCATTTAATTTGAATTAATAGTTTGTTATTTCATACAATTTTCCCTAAATTATACCCTCAACTTAAACTACATCCTTAAATTATTTTTCTTAACAGAATACGTCCCTCAATTATTTAAAATTTGACAACTTTCATCCTTTTGTTAAAATTTGTCAAAAACTAACAAATTCTTCACAACAACATGTACGGTGCACATTGCTCTCAACAAATTAAACTCCCTAAATCACCCCAATAAACCAATTTTGTTCATTCTACATACATCTAAAATAATATTATAATTTGTTTTAGTAACAACGTTTTGCATTGTCTTCCTTTTAATTAGCAATTTTATTTTTATTTACTTTTCATTTGATTTGATATCAAAGAATCTATGGAAATGTTTTCTTTTCATTGAATATGTTTACTTCTAATAATGGAAAATGAAACTTGAGTACTAGAAATCAAAATTAGCAGAATCTTGATCCCATCAACTATCAATTTGCCCAAAAAATTATTGATCTAACGACATTTTGACTTTGCAAGGTGAAGATGGTGTGAAATTAAGCTCTAACTTCATTCAGTTTGTAAAGGAGAAGAGAAGATCATATCTCCTCGTAGACTCACACCGTCCTAACATTATTTTTTCAACAACAAACATGAGTCTCAGTTTTTTGTTTTTTATTTTTGGATGCTTTTTCCAATCGGTAATAATTTTATAGATTTTTTTTATATGAGAATAGTATGAATTGCATATGTTTTTGTGTGGAATTCACTATTTTTTTTTGATAAATTCAAATAGAGGGATGAAAATTGTTAAGTTTTAAATACTTGGAGAATGTTTTTTGTTAAGAAGGATAATTTAAGGATGTAGTTTAAGTTGGGGGTATAGTTTAAGGATATTTTTAGCCAAAAATTCTTATGGAGTAAGAAGGTAAAAAATGTAAATTTCCAATGAAATAAAGTTATAAAAAAATAAAATCTGACTCAAAATTTGAAAAGCTTATATAATGATATCGAAATAGTGTTACGTTAAATTTGATAAGTTGATATAATGATATTAAAATAGTGTCTATTAGTTTTAGTGCTTGAAATTTGAAGAAGACATCAAAAAAATAATTTGATCTTTCTATAAACACACAATAATAATTTTGCGTAATATATGTAATAAGGTTTGACTGTTTGAAAGACTTTACAATATTTAATAATGAGAGAATAAAAATAGTGAAAGGGGATTAAAAAAATTAAAACATAAGAATAATAATTGATTCATGATAATCGTCAGAATATATATAAGGCAACAAAATAGATAGCCACATAAAGATGCTACAATTAACTAAACATTATTTCATTTCTCAATTTAACAACGATTCATATATTTAATGAGGTAAAAAGCTATTATCTTTTCTATCCAAGAAATTCTTTTCAAATTTATTAATACATGATTTTTTTACACAATATATATATGGGAGAAAGTGGGGGTTGTAAAAAAATTGGGCCCTCAAACGATTGATTTAGTAGCCTTATCGTCGAGAGGGCCCTGGAGAAGGAGGATCGAGCTCTCTCAAGATCTTAAGAATCATCCATGGTAGAGGCACTACATCAAAAAAATAAAATAGCGATAATTAATGGCAATTACTGAATTGTCGATAAATATGTTTTTTTAGAGGCAATCAACACTTTTTGTAAATGTTTTTAAAGCCTATAATGATATTAGATCTAACGACTATTAACTAATATTAGTATAAGTTTTAACACTTTTTACTAATATACATATTTATTACCGCAAAAATTTATTTTTATAAGATTGAGCTTCTTCAGATGTTATATCACAAGAGAAGAAGAGAAGAGAAAACTCCAATTATGAATTGTGAAAGATGCAAACGGATTAATCATTTCACTAAATCTGAAGTTTATATTTCACGGTAGGGGTGCCAATAAATCCTATTAAACTAGAGGTGGCGAAATTGATCCATTAAAACGTTATTATTTTGTGTATTTTACTAGTTCAGTCTTGAAAAAGTTGGATCAATATTTAACTCAAATTGATTAATGAGAAACTTTATCAAAGTATTTTCAAATGAATATTTTTGTAGTAAATATATTATATAGTTATAAAAGAAAGTAATAATTTTAAAGAATAAATAAAGTAATTTAAATTTAATAAAAGACGACGGTTGATTTATGATTTACATTTTAATCAATTTCAATCAAGTATGATTTGCATTTTAATTCATTCAATCAACTAATTTTTGGACCGGATTCCGTTTTTGGACTGATTAAATAGTTCATTTGTTTTGATTCTTCAAATTCCTAGTTGTCCTAGTCACCCCAACATCAACCTGCTCTTTGAGCGTCTCTATTTTTTCCTTCATGAAATCGATAGTGCTCAACGCTTCCATGAGTCTCTGCATTCTAAAATAATGACGGTCTGCCTCATCTCTATCTTCATCTGTGTACACCTATTCAAGTCATTTCGAATGTTTTCGATCTCCTCAAAAGTATGTGCCACAAGATAGCTTAGTGTGCCTTCTACTTTCCCAAAGCATTGGCTAAATATCTCAATTGCATCAACCCCTGCATTAACCTTTGTGAACCACTCTCTACCAAACAAGATGTCCTCAGGCAAGACCTCCACATCATCTTTGCTCGCCTGAGTGGTATAAGGTTCTTGGAATGTAAGTCTTTCATTTGACTCAACCTCGAGTGGTACCTTCTCGTTCTTGGTGGCAACATTCCTCTTTTTGGTATGGTCCTTCTTGTCGGCGGCATGGGTAACGTTAGCTTGAATGTTAGCAACGTTAATTTTTCCGTCGTTTGTCATTCTCTTAGTTGCAACCTTGCCTACCACATTGGCTTAAGTCTTTTACTAAGCACAGGTGTGATACATGACAACTTGCTCATGATCTTGCTATGTCAAGTCAACCCAAGACTATAGAAATGACTAAGAGAATGATAGAGAGAACACAAGAGATCATTGATATGAAGAATGTCGTTGAGAACTTCGGTTGATTTTTGTTTGATGATTTTACAAATGGATGTCCCTCTATTTACACTACTCTCGATCACTTAGAGGCTGATATTTAAATAACAATTATCAAACAAGTTCATACATATTTACAAATAAATCTTTTTTCTAGAATTCTCTACCAGACTAAAATATTCTCAAAGGCCTTTTATGATTCTTCCTAAATATTCTAAAGTATTTTCAAGAAACTTTACATACTCTTGAATCTTCCCACAAATGCTAACATTCTTATCATGTATGCATCCACATGAAAAACTATATACCACGTGACACCTAAGTTTCATGATAACATAATGGGTCATCAAATAATAGTGAAGCCAACAATTTGACTAGAGATTGAAAAAACAAAATATAAAAGTCAAGCCAGTCGTGTAGGGCGATCAGGCCAGGCCTAGTCAGAAAGGCTTTAATGACTCAAGGTTCATATTAGGGAAAGGAGAGTAAGGGGAAGAGGAAGGTATCCCTCGGTCCGATCATCCAATTCGCTCCAACAAACAGACATGGTTTTGTAGTCAAAGCAACTTCCTCATTTTCGCATTTGCACCTTCCAATTTTGCTAATGTCTATTTTATTCTTAATATTTTTCAATTACACAAGGGTAATGTTACTTTATTTTTATTTTTTCATATTCACTTTAAAGAAAATTTTGGAGATCCGTTAATTAGGCTTCAAAGCCCCTTAATTGATCCCTTTTTTTATCTCGTTGACATAATTATACAACTCCATGTGCACCAAACTTTGATAATTACACCGAAAATTAATGATGATCTCTTTGCCAGGTACAACATCCACCTAGTTCTAATTACTAACTAGTTGCCTCACACAACGTCCAAAATATTTCATTGCTACTCCCTAAGAAAGATATGCTAGTACATACCTCCGTCTTATATAGTAAATATTTTATTAATTTGATTATCGATTTAGCTGGTTCACAAACTAAAATTTAATCAATCATAACGTTAAGACATAAAATCGACCAATCGATGCATATTACTACTTTCATTTCATCTCCAAGGAATTTCTAATTAATGAAAGGGTTTCGTTTGATTCCTTATAAGCATATCAAAATGTATTGGGGTGTGAAATGAACCACAATGAGTTAAAATTGATCAAATCAATAAATATCTAAGCTATAGTTTGGTTATTTAATGAGAAATCCCTTAATATATCATCACAGGATAAAAATATATTGGCATGGTATCATATTTCAACGAGGCACTCTTCAATCCTCTATAATACCATCATGGTGTATCTATATACTGATATGATTGGTATCATGGAGAACTGATTCAGTCCTTCAGTGAGATATTCCTCAGTATACAACCACAATATACCTATATATTGTCATAATATCATCTTTTACCGATATATTTTCATGATAGCAACCTTCAATGACACTCATCAATTTTCCATGTTATTTAAGTTGGTCAGAGCATGCAGATGAGCTAAAATTAATGAAGTTGAAAATAGAAGGATTTCTTACGTAACTATATAGGGAAAGGGATAATACAATAAAATGATCATATATTTATTTAATGTATCAAATACTATATAACAGTGTATATATAATGTATAATGAGTCGAATGTTAATGGAATTAGGCAAATGTAATATCAACCAAACAAGTCAGGAACATGGAAGAATTCATTTTCCATTCTCAATCAACTATCTAATCTGGAATCAATTGAAGGAAGCAAGCAAAGCTTATTTCTTCAAACAAGTGTGTAAAAAAACGAATTGTCGAACAAGAACAAACATGAAGATGAAGACTATTGAGTAGAGAAGAGGTAAGGGGAACAAAGTGTTAGCACAAAAATTCTAACATCATAATCCATTAAAAGCTCAACTTGTTTGAATTGAAAGAGAGAGGAATATCCTTCGATGAGCTTAACTTCAAGCCACAGTATTTAATCACAAATATTGTTGTTGTAGAAGCAAACGCATTGAACGTAATTCTTTATATGGGGCAAACAGTACATACATACGAAAATTTAAAGTAAAGGAGAGAATTTTTGGCCTGTTGTGTAAGAACTACAAATATATAAGAACTAAAGAGCTAGGGAAACTAGACTGTATTATTGATGATTACCACCATTGATGAACAAGAACTCCACTTTCTCTTAGAGAAGTGAAGAGATCCAAACACTGGCTATACGTATTCGGATACTTTGAAGACCTCTCCCCAGGGCAGCATTTCTGCCACCTATTGTAATGGCATTCAAGAAACACTTCATCAATCAAGCAAATTGCTCCTGTTTCAATCAATCTCGGGATCAAATCGAATTCAGTCCCTTCAACATCCATCTTCATCACCACATAATCCTTCTCCGACACCGCGCTCATCAACCATTCAGCAAAGTCAAAACCTTGGATTACATCCACCTCACTTGCAGATTCACTAGAAGATTCAACAGGTTGAATTCTTCCCATCCCTCTTCCTTTTGCCACATCTTTATGACCCGGATCTTGATTAATCTCAAACGACAACGTCTCGTTCTTAACCCAAGCTGCATATGGCAACAAAGTAACCCCTTTCTTCTCCTTATACTGCCCATGGAAAGTCTTGTCAGCCTCAACAGCATATATCTCAAAGGTCTTGTTTTGCTTAGGATACTGTTTCTTGAACCAACTCACAATGCTTGAACCATAACTCCTCGAACCAACATCAACATAGACATATCTCTGCTTAAAACTAATATCCGCCATGGACGACAAGTACTTAATGCTCTGTGCATTCTTCTTAAGTGTAATCCATGGTTTCTTAGGTTCCTCTTTAATCAAAGGCTCAGCTTTTTTAATCAGTTTCATTTTATAATCGGGAACATGACGACAATTGTTCTTGGAATCACTCACTTTTTCTTCAACAAATACATCCTTTTTCATAACAATCTCACGAATAGTCGAATCGAAACCATCAATATTCCTAGACTTAATCAATGTACAACAATTAAACAAATGAAGGAATGAATTGAAACTGTATGTATCATTAGAACCTGTATGGACAACCAAAAACCCTTCGGGTTTCAGAGTCCGGCAAATCTCCGCCGCGAAATCTCCCGGCTTAAGTGACTTATCTATCATTCCGGCACCGGAAAATATGAAATCAAATGTATCATCTTCAAAGGGTTGTTTAACAGCTTTACCTGTAATCACCAAAGGCTTTGAACCTTTCTTGTAAATCCCAACGGAATCGGCAACCCCAATTTCCCTCAACGCAAAAACATCAGCACCCATCGGAGTTTCAACGCAAAGGGTTTTCGAATTTGGGTTCAAAAAACCCTCCGCAACAAGATCCTCAAACACCGAAGAATAAAACTGGGCCGACTTTTGGAAATCTTTGTTCGCCCATAGATCGGGAAGTTTGGGCTTCGCCGGAGCAGATTTTCCGGCAGTTTCGGTGGTCATGACCGCTGATACAGACCCAGCGAGCTGTCCGACGCCGGAAATAACATTGAGATTTTCCGGTAAAGAGAAGAAACAAAAATCGCCGAGGTCACAAGTTTCCCCTTTGAGAGTCACCACATAAGCAAACCGACAACAGACAATCACAACACAAAAAAGGCATAAACGTACCAAAACATTCCTAAAAAATCCCGGTTTTCCCGTACTATGATCCATCAAAATCGCTCCTTTTACTTTTCAAAAATGAATATCTACAACGAATTTTTTGCAAGTATATAGAAGAAGAAAAAAGAATGGGTACCCAAAATTGGAGAGGAGAGAAGAGGGGTTTTCTGAAAAGAATGGATTACCGGGAACAGAAACGAGCAGAGGTATGATTACCACCGATGAGAGAACGATGAGACATAGGTTTTGAAAAGGGTATAAAGAAAGGAGCGAAATCAGTAAAAGGGCCCAACATTTTGCAGGAGAAAATCACTCTTTCATAGATTTCTTCCAGCATTCCCAAACCCAAATTCAATTGTTTTTTGTTGTTTGAGTGGATTATTGAGATTCAAAGAAACCCAATTCTTGAAAATTTGATGATTTTGGATGTGAAGAGAGAGAAAGCAAAGGCGAGAAAACTGTAATCCTAGCAGAGAGAGAGAGAGAATGTAGGAAAGCGAGTTTATGGAGGGCTGGAGATGAGAAAAAGCGTGTGAAGCGGACGAGTATTTCGGGCGGGTCGGGTCGGGTGGCAGAGGGGTTTTGGGTAAATTTACTTCCATAGGATTTGGGTTTGACTTTAGAAAATATCAGTATTGGATTCTATTTCCTAAATTTTAATACTAGTAAACTAATTTCATTAGTAAGTACTATTTTCTAAATCTTTTCAATTTTAAATTGATTGTAACAAAGATAGAAAATAAATATTGCTTTCGTAATTTAATTTATGAGATTTTAGAAGAAATTATTCGACTAATTTTATCTTAATAAAAAATGATTAATGTAGAAATTTATATTGCACTTTAACTTTTGCTATTATTTTTCTTTTATATATATCAGTTTTTAATTTGTGATCAATCATACATAATTAAACGAAAATTAAATATTTAAAAATAAAAAATTAATAATAATAAATATCTATTCATTTAATTATGTGTGATAATTAAAAACTCATAAATCGAATCGATGACGTGGCACTCATAAATTGACTAGACGGTTTAGAAGTGGGTTTGGGTTTCCAATTACAATTTTGCCCACATGCAGATGCTATGCCAGCTCATATTCAAGTCATATACGCCTTCATTTTGTATTTATTTTGCTTTCCTTTTGGTTAAGCATTAATTATTGGACGCGCAAAGAAAACGGATTCCTTTTAATGATTGGCTACTCTTTCTTTTCCCTCTATACTTTCATTCCTATAACACTTTTCAAAAGTTAATTTGATTAATTTTCAAAGTTATAAAATATTAGATTACATTACATTAATTTGATATTTTAAACAAAAATAATTAGATATTCAAAAATTATACAAAAAATATTATAAATTGTAATATCTTCATATCAATATGATAATAAATATATCATAAAATGTTAATTAAACTTTTTTATTGCTCGACTCTAAAAAAAGAAATAATGACAACTAAAAGAATGAACGAATGGAGTACTTTTTTTTAAAAAAAAACTTGTTATACATGGACTATTGTTACGTCCCGCCACTTCACAGTTCAAATTTGGCACCGGAATAATGGGAAAGAATCTAGAATTGTGGAGAGGTTAGTAGAACACTCTAGAATTCCCTAGAGAATTTTCAAGAAGACTCTAGAATAACTTAGAAGCTTTCTTAGAAAGCTTTGGAAAGTCCTAAAATGTGTAGAGAATTCTAGAGAAGGGACCAAAGTGTAAATACTTTAGAAACTTGTAAAGTAAATATTAATTACACTTTAACCCCTAGGTTGTAGTATAAATAGATGTGTCATTCATTTGCAAGGCACCAAACAAGTTGTAAGCAATTTTCCAAGCAATATAAAGCTTTCTTCCAAAATTCTCTAAGTTTTTCTTTGCATTCTCTTAGCAGTCTAACTTCAAAGGGCTTACTTGAGTTTACAAGATCGTGAAAGATTCGTGAGTAAGTTGTCAAATACTGCACGAAACATTAGTGAGACTCTAAGTCCGTGACACTACACTATATATATAATGTTAAACTATAATAATGAAATGTTCAAGTTAAGAATATGCATTTATTAAAGATAATAATGCTAATAATAATAATAATTACTTGGATTGGCTTTAAGTAATCTTGTTATATGGAGTAAAAATTAGTTGCACACATTCAATGCATATTATTAAATCTACTCTAGTCTAGAGGAGAGAATTGTTAGTAGTAGTTTAGTAGTAATACATTGATTAACTTCCTAGAGTTCAATATAAATAACCGTCTCTAGTAAAATTAATTGAATTGTAGAAAGTGTACCTTCGACACATCCCATAATAAAAAAGTGGTAGAAAGATGTCAAAATCAATACTATGTCAAAAAAAAAGCCCAAACACATACACAACCCATCAAACTTGCCTTCATTTTTCATTTTGGCACTCCAACTTAGTCTTATTCCATTTTAATCCTTAAATTTTATTTTTTCTGTACCATATAAACACTAATACTAATTTTTATGATTTTTTTTATTTATGTTCTTCAATTGAAAATTTTTATTTTAAAAAAAATAGACGTATGTCTGTTAATTTCGTAAAAAAATTAAACATTCGTAAACGAACATAAAAATTTTCAAACAATAATATTATTTTTTGAGATTTCTCTGTATTTTTGCATGAAAGTAAATTGACGAAAGTTCTTTGATTTTCTTTCTTAAACATTCAATTAAATTAAATAACACTACTTATTTATTATTTCTTATCATCTAGGCTATCTAAATTTAACGCAAATACTCACTTTTTATTTTTAATATAAATCAATACGAATAAAAAAACTCATCTTCAATACGAGTATAAAAGACTCTTGTTCATTGCTAATAACACTACTAAAAAATATTAAAACTCGACTAATTTTAATTTGTTAGATTGTCGGTGATTTTTAAGAAAGAAAACCAACATAATTTCGTCGATTATTTTTCACATTAAAAAACATAAAACTCTTAAAAGGAAATTATTATTTTTTTAAAAAATTATTTTTTGTTAATTTTTATTTTTTTAAAACTAAAATTAACTGACACATGCCGATTGAAAAAAAGAAGTTGCAATTGAAGAATATATATAAAAATAAAGAAAACATAAAAATAGTATTTCATGTTAAAATGGTACATAAAAAATGAAGTTTAAGAGTTAAAATGGAACGAGGCTAAGTTGGAGTGCCAAAATGAAAAATGAGGGCAAGCTAGAGGGGGTTGTATATGTGTTTGGCCAAATCATAACATCAGTTGGGAGGGTTATATGTTATTGATAAAAATTAAAATTAAATTAATTTAATCTCTTTCTAATTTAGCCTTATTAAAATATAATACAATATATATTTATGTATTTGGTTGTTATTGATTTTGATTTGGTTATTAATCATATATGAAAAATAAAGAAACTATTCATTAAAAAAAAATAGTCATTATAGAACTTTTGATTACTGAATTTAATGTGAATAAAACCCAAAAGTGCACGGAAGAGACTCTCAGTTTTCCAAAAACTATCATAGACACTCATATACATGAAATTAACAAAAATGTTCACTCTTCGGCTTTTTTCCTTTCATAAATAAATGATAAATAAATTTTGATGATTAAAAATTATTCATAAAATTATTGATATATTATGCATGTATAATTAAAAATATATGAATGTAACTTATTGGTTTGGTTCAATTTGGTTCGACATCTTCTAAAAAAAAACTTTTACAAAATGAAAATTAAATTAAAAATAATTGATTCTTAAATTTGTAAAATCAAATAAAATTCAAATAAAATCAACTTTATAGAACGTCATGTAGGACGAATGTGTCTCTTTGTTCAATTTTATGCAAGTTTAAGTGTTTATTTGTGCACACTCAAAATTAAAGATAATATGCGTCAACTAAAACTAAGTAAAGAGTTATGTTTATGTATTATGTCGAATAACAATTGTTTATTTTTATAATCATTATTACAAATTCACAATAATTACTACCCACGTATAAAAACAATTTTACTTATTTATTTTCATTATTAAAATAAGAATACATATAAAGCAGTGTCACCTTACTGGATTTATAAAAAATGTACTAAGAATTGAATATGGAGAAGTGTGATTTGTTGTAAGTTTAGAGGTAGAATATGATTAAATGATTGATTATTCCACGAGCACTAACGTGTCATATTATGGTGCCTTCTCTGCTGCATAAAATCTGTCAATATAAGAACATGGGCTACTAGCCTACTATTATAGCTTCTCTTAAAAAAAAACAAAAAGAAGTTGCCAGAGATTGATGTGGGCCCACTCACCTGCTGTGGTCCCACATTTCCCATAGTTTACATTTTACAATAAAGCCGGATTTAACGCCATTCCCATAGTCTAAATTTCCTCTTTTCGTCATTTTTCTTGTTAAAACTATACATTTTGTTTCATTTTAGGTGATATTATTTAATTTAAAAAGGTGTTTTAAAGATTTTTTTATTTTAAATATTTATGTAGTTATAAATTATTCTATTAGGAATAAAATAAAAATTTTAAAGTTAACTATTTTTAATTGTAGTAAGATGATTTTTAGATGAATTAAAAAAAATATGTCAAATAAAATAAGACAGAGGAAGTATATTATTCTATCAGTTTCAATGTATGTTATTGTTCTATTGTCCAATCTGTAATACTAAGATAAGATGCTTGGAATAATAATTTTGCGGAACTTCATAAGAACAACAAAGTTTAAAATATGGAAATGGGTCAAAAATACCTCTTCAATTTTAATTTATTGGTTGACTTATATCTTTTCTGTTAAAATAAAGTTGTTCTTGTCCCTACCGTTACAAAACTTATCATTCATGCCCCTCCTTGGACGGAAATCTTCAAATCAATCAAAATTAACCCAATTTTTAAGAAAACATAGGTGTGATTTTCATAAACTCAATTTGAAAATTAGATTGAAACAATACAGTGAATTTGAAATCTGATTTTTCAGGAGAACACTACACTTGTTTTGTTATAGAAATGGAGGAACGAGATGAAGATGAAGATTGGAGAGCAGCAATCAATGAAGATTGGCGGAACTGAATTACAAATTCTACATTGCGTTGTAACTCTATAAGAAAAACATAAATATTTTTTCACACGTCTTATACGCTCAAACATGAAGGAAGTAATTGCTTCAATTTGTCAGTCTTCTCAAAGTCGGACACATAGCGTGTATGAAGATACCTAGAGAAGCAAACCTTGAACTTGGCCATATCCTTGTTCTTCTTGGTCTTGACAGTTTGTGCATCAGTCATTCGGTCTGTCACACGAAATTTCATGATCTCATGAATTCACTTCGCATTTTTGGGAGGGGAAAGTGGTGATAGGAGAAACGACGAACTCAAAGAGAGGTTTGAAGATTTAATTGTTATGCGTTTATTTTATTTTTAGGGAAAAGAGTCTGAAAAATACTCTAATTTGGCTGAAATTGTTGTTACGATTCCAAACTTTATGGAGGACCTTTTACCCCCTGTACTACTTAATAGTGTGTTTTAAAGGTATATATGTGCCCACATGGACACAAAACTAGTTATAATGATGCAATATTTATGATGTCCACATGAGCACATATATACTTTTTAAAACACACTATTAAATAGTGCAGGGGGTAAAAGGTCATTTTCAAAGTTCGGTATTGTTACAATAATTTCGGTCAAAGTTCGGATTTATTTCAGACTTTCTTTCCCTTTTCTTAATACAATGGATACGATTTAGGTTAAAATAGATAATTGAGTAATTTTAATTAAAATCGAGTTAATTTTTGTTAATTTGAGAATTTCCGTCCAAGGAGAGGCACATACAATAAGTTTTGTAATGATAGAGGTAAGAACAACTTTATTTTAACGATAAGGGAATAGTCAACCAATAAATCAAAGTTATGGGGTATTTTTGCCCTTTTCCCTTTAAAATATACATTTTCAAAATCAAAAGTTACAACTAATAAAAAAAATATAATATGCAATAAAACAGAAATAATATTGCAAAGAAGAAAATTGAGTTCACTGAATACACAATATACCTTAAGAAAATCATTCCTCTCAAATACTCAAAATTAATGAAATATATTCTCACAAAATAGAACTATTTTATTCACTGATATATTGATATTTCATACCTAAAAATTTACTAAATACCGAATAAAAAAAGAAGAAGATGGATGACAGGGACATGTTGCAAGGGATCAACGATATCTTCTAGTAGAGTCCATATGACAGAAAATATAATACGTATTATAATTTCATTGGTTGCGATTTATAAAGTCATTTAGAAACGATTATTTTTTTCGCAATATTTTACTTTCCCACCATAAAGAAAGGAATGTCTTTCAATTTGCTTACAAACACATTTATTCACTATATGACATTCGTTTTATTTGATTTATATTAACCTGATATAATTTTAAAAATAATAATATTACAAGTGTAATTTGCTGAACTCTAGAGTCAAATAAAATTAATTGATTGACTTGTATTAAGTTGGATATGATGATTTGATAGATAAATTAATAATTTATAGTAATAAATTAAATTGCACTTAAAATATTAAACTTCTTTACTTTGTGATTATTGTTAACTAAACCAAAATTAGATGATTTTGGTAGTTAACAAGTAAATGTAGTTAGTTGTGTTAGGAGCTGGTAAACAGTTATCCCTCGCTCACTCTAAAATGTGAAAATGTTGGTAGCCGTTGGGACACAGAGACTTGAAAGAAAAATCCAACCTTTTTTCAACCATTTTCTGGTAAAAAAAAAATCACTTTTCACTGATTTTATTGCTGGTAAAGCTACTTATAGTATTGTTTAAATGACGATATGTTTTTAACATGATTTATTTTTATTTAAAAATGCGGAAAATAAGAATCTATTTCAATCGAAGATTCTTCAAAAACATCTTTTATCTCTATAAGATAGAGGTATAGTCTACCTACATTCTATTTTTTCAGATAAAATTTGTGAAATTTCATTAGATATGTTATTATTATGGGAAAAAAGACAAATATATTCCCGAACTGTCGAAAATGGTATGCAGATCCCTCCGTCATACTATTGGGACATTGATGCCCCTGCCGTCTAAAAACTAGAGCATATATGCCCTTCACTCTAACGGAAGACTAAATAGGGACACGTGGCGCAATCTTATTCGTCGATCTGATATTTAATCGGCAGATAATATTATGACACGTGTATGTCTGTTAGTATAAAGGGTATATATGCTCTAGTTTTGGACGGCAGGGGCACCAATATCCCAAAAATATGACGAAGAATATCTGCATACCATTTATGATAATTCGAGGATATATTTATCTTTTTTTCCCATTATTATTGGAGAAAAGAGATCTACAAAGCAAGATTAGCAATGAACTAAAATATCCTTTCAATAAAAATAAAAAATAAAAAAATTATAATATCCCCACTTCTCCAAATATTTGAGAAAAAAATAATAATAATGGATAGTATAACAATTTTCAATAAGTTTTGTCAGTAGTTATCCTATTTGTCATCCTTTGCATTTGAGGTCAGTCATCTTACTTAATATATTTTGTAAACAAATTTTAAAGTGATAAAAAATAAATTATCACAAATAAAATATGATTTATCGATAGAAAAATGTAGGTACAAATCTGTTCCTCTCGGGATTCTATTCTCATAAGATTTATCGATAATTCGAGGGTCGGTCGTTAGTGACGTATTTCTCGATCTAAGATGATTGATTTTGATCTCTGTATAAATATTCCATAAATTTGTGGAATTTTTGAGATTTTGATCTGTTTATGAATATTCAATGAATTTGCGGTGGATTTTTTATGTCTTTTCAAGGGAATATAGCACCATTTATATAGGCATGAACTAGTGTTTAGAGTTGACTAGCCTCTAAGAATTTTAATTAGAATTGAACACACTTTGTAGAGTCTCAACTCGAATTGAACACATCATGTACCCCACAAAATTTCAATGTCTAGAGTAATTTTTTGTGCATTTTAATAATATATAAAAATTATATTGTCAAAGTTTATATATAAAAAAATTCCTCCATTACTATTTGTTTATTTTGATCTTTCCTTTTCATCCATTTTAAATAAAAAAAACCCTTTTTTTCTTTTTGACAATTTTTTAATTTTAACTTTTCACATGACATATTTAAGGTATAGAATAAGATCAAATAACTTTTTGATACATTTCATGTATTTATCATTTAAAATCATAAGATTTAATTTTTTTTTTTGCTTTTTAAAATTTTATGTCAAGTTAAAGTCTGACAAATAAATCAACACAGAGGGACTAATTTTTTTTTAAAAAAAACTATAAATTATGGAATTAGAATTATTAGGTATTGTGATGAAGGAAAAAAATAAATTAGTATGGGTCATGTGAGTTTGAAGAAAAGTTTCTGAAATTACACTCGTGAATTATATCTCCTTTTGATGTATCTGTTTGTTGATGTAAACTCCAAAGTCTAAATAAATTGCTAAAAGTGGTCCCTTCAAGACCGTTGGAAGATTGGAATAACAGGCTCCTTTTATTTCTTTGGGATCAATTCATAGATATTTTGGACGTGAGTTCTCTAAGTATTTTAAATCACATATAAGTAAAATATTTTAAATTACGATCGTAATATATGTTCAGGTTAAATTTCACATATTTTATCTAATTTCATAGAATATATGTCTTCTCTCATCGATAATAGATAGCAGATAAAAATTAGATAAATAAGATGAGACTTAAATTCAACTCATGAATCCATTTGTTTGAGCTATATTGTTAAATTTGGATTTTGCATCTTGTTAAACAGTTTATATTAATATCTTTTAATTATCACTAGCATAATATACAAATCAAATTAAACATCATGTTAAGCTACGTGGTTAACAAATATCACCATATACATTTATTTATGGACATTTATCACCATATTAAAGTTACTACTTTGAAGTTTTAGTGTTTTACATCGGAAATTCAAATTTGAAGAAATAACATTTGGGTAAAAAAAAAAGATACGATGAGACTTTCCTATAATAATCTTATTTGTCCAAAGTTCTTATACATGTATACTCCCTTCGTCCCTAATTACTTGTCCGCTTTTATTTTTTAAATTGTTTCTAATTATTTGTTCATGTTGACAAATCAAGAAATGACAATTTTTTTTACCTATTATACCCTCAATTAATTACTTTGAAAAATATAGAACTTCTTGAAAACCTTAAGTTTTTAATTCATCCACTTCATAATTAATAGGGGTAAAATGGTAACCTCGTTATATCAATAATTATTTTCTTAATAGGTGTATCGATTTAAAAGTGGACAAGTAATTAGGGACGAGTACCTAATACCAATATGGATATTAGATTTTATTGGATTGTTATTGATTATAAACCACCATAAGATTAATTACAAAATTAATAAGGTAGACTGTGTGGAAAACAAGAATAACACAAAAAATCTCCAAATTTCACCTTTTAATTTCTCCTATTCCAAGTTTTCAAGAGTTTTTTATGTTCCAAATTTCTCTTCGGAACTTAACAAATTTATTAAAATGATATCTCCCATAAAATATCAATAATAGGCTACTTTTTTATTATTATAAAATATAAAATATTTGAATAATATTATTTCAAAGAGATAATTTTACAAATAATAAATCATTAACTATACTTATAGGTCATAAATATAATATAATATAAAATATCAATTCTATTTTTTGTTTTGTTTTGCACATCATAGTAACATGATATTGAAGAGGATGATAAATAACTTATTATAGAAAAGAATGAGGGATATATATAATTATTGGGGCAACCAAACAAGGGGACACCCATATATTATGAGGTCTACTTTTGTTTGAAGAATAACTTCATTCAAAAAGCATAAACTTTAATATGCTAGAACAACAATCATTATTTTTGGAATAATGTCCACTTTTGTTTTAAAAAAATCTTTCTCCCATCCCAATTTTAATTGCTTAGTAAAAGTGCTAATCTCAACCCTTCTCGGCGTTATTCTCGCAATCTTCTATTTTTTTTCTTCTGGATTTGGTAAGAATCAAGTGTTTTAAAAAGTTGGGGCGTTAGGTGAGACATTTTATATTGCGGAGAGAGGCGTAATCTCAGAGACACGGGATATAAGTCTCACGAATTTCTAGGGCGTGTATATTCAATTTTATAATTTCATCTCTTAAACCAATTTTTTGGATTAATTACATAAATCCCACCTTTTAGTTTACTTATTACCATTATCCCCTATAAGTTTTACAAAACTCCAAAATCCATCATTTTCACGCATCAGATTAGTGTATCATGTATAAAATGTACATTAGATTAGTGTATCATGTATAAAATGTAATGTATCTTACTTAACGATTAATGTATCTCACGCATCAGATTAATGTATCAGCGCTTATATTATTGTATCCGTTTGAGGAATTTCTGTAATTATAAACTTTTAAGGGATAGATTGTAATTTTGCCTTAAAAGTATGTGATTTCTGTAATTTGCCCTTTTTTCATAAATAATTTTATTACTAAGAAAATAAGCAAAAGTAGAACTTTTAATGATTTTACAAATAAATATTTAAAAATAACCAATAATATAGAAAAAATAATTGTAATTATTATTTGAGAAAGATATTAATAAACCAATAAAAGCGTGTGAAGAGGACGAGTATTTCGGTCGGGTCGGGTCGGGTGGCCGAGTGGTTTTGGGTAAATCTACTTCCATAGGGCTTAGGTTTGACTTCCGAAAAAATAAGTTTTAATTCAAAATCGAATCGACAAAAGACACTACTGAATATTAATTATGTATTAGTATTGGATTAATCGGCTAAATATCGTCTTGTTTTGGTTTGCAATTTTATGGTTTTGATTATTTTACCTTTAATTATATAATAACAATAATTTTAAATATTTTATCAATTCTATTTCCTAAAACTTTAGTAGTTGTAATTTCATTAGTAAGTACTATTACCTCCGTCCACTTTTAATTGTCATAGTTTCCTTTTTTTAGAATCAAATGATAATACTTTGACTAACATTTTATGATGCATTTTTCATCATATTGATATGTAAAAAAATTGAAATTTATAGTACTTTTCGTATAGTTTTTGAATATCTAAATATTTTATTTAAAATATCAAATTAATGTAATCTAACTTAACTTTGAAACTAAGTCAAATTGACTTTCGAAAAGAGCAACATGACAATTTAAAGTGGACAGAGGGAGTAATACAAACTAGCTATTTTGCCTCTTTATTATGATATTTATTATTTTTTCTATTTTCAATTTTAAATTTTAATTGTGACAAAGATAAAAAAAATTAATATTACTTTCGTAATTTATTTTATGAATTTTTTTAGAAGGAATTATTCGAGCAATTTTATCTTTAAAAAAATGATTAATATGAAATTTATATTGCACTTTAACTTTTGCTATTATTTTTCTTATATATATATATGTATTATCAATTTTTAATTTATGAACACACATAATTAAATGAAAATTAAATATAGGGTTTAGGGTTTAAAAATAAAAAAATTAATAATAAATTTCTATATGTTGTAAAACAAGAGGAAAATGCAAAAATACTTAAACAAGAAAGTAAGGCAAAGTGTGATGGAAAGTATAAAATTGAGAGCCTTATTTTAATCTCTTCAATGTGTGTTTCATAAGGGTGAAAAGACTACCCTTTTATATGATTTAGAAAGCACCCTTTTACATCTTTTAACCAAATATGTAGCACAACTTTAAGTCTTACATTAAATAGGTTCATTACGTTATGTTATTGATGAAAAGAAACATCCACAATTCAATGGTTTTATAACACTCCCCCTTGAATGTTTATATATATTGTACCTCGTTAAAACCATACTAGGGAAAATCCAGTGGGAAAAAGCCTAGTGAAGGAAAAAGAGTACATACATCTTGTAATACGCCTTGAGTGTTGCCTCATTAAAAACCTTACCAGGAAAACCCAATGGGACAAAACCTTGGCTAAGGAAAAAAGAGTACAACGCGTATTTTACTCCCCCTAATGAAAACTTTATTTGATATCTCGGAGATGACACATTCCAATCTTATATCTTAACTTCTCAAATGTTGACGTTGGCAATGCCTTAGTGAATAAATCTGCAAGATTCTCACTCGAACGAATCTGCTAAACATTTATCTCACCATTTTGTTGAAGATCATGCGTGAAAAAGAACTTAGGTGAAATATGATTTGTCTGGTCTCCTTTTATATATCCTTCCTTTAATTGAGCGATGCAAGCAACATTATCTTCATATAGTATTGTTGTAGTCTTTGTTTGCACAGAAAGACCGCATAATTGCAAAATGTATTGAGTCATTGATCTCAACCATACACACTCTCGACTGGCTTCATAAATGGCTATTATCTCTGCATGATTTGAAGAAGTAGCAACTATTGTTTGCTTCATCGAACGTTATGATATAGTTGTACCTCCATATATGAATAAATAGCCTGTCTGAGATCGAGCTTTATGTGGGTCAGACAAATATCCTGCATCTGCATAACCGATCAATTCTGACTTGGATGCATTAGAATACAACAATCCCATATCAATTGTTCCTTGAAGATATCTGAATATATGCTTAAAACATTTCCAATGTCTTCTTGTTGGACATGGCTGAATCTCGTCAATAAACTTACTGCAAAAATCTGGTCGGATATTATTAGCAAGATACATTAGTGCCCCAATAGCACTAAGATATGGAGTTTTAGCACCAAGAAGCTCTTCATCCTTTTCTTGAGGTCGGAATGGATCTTTATTTATGTCAAGAGATATCACAACCATCGGGGTAGTCAATGGGTGTGATTTATCCATGTAAAATCGCTTCAAAATCTTTTCAATATATGTTGATTGATGGATAAATATTTCATTTACCAAATGTTCAATTTGAAGGCCAAGACAAAATTTTGTCTTTCCAAAATCTTTCATTTCAAATTCTTTCTTCAAACACTCAACAACTTTTGAAAGCTCTTCCGGAGTTCCAATGATGTTCAAGTCATCAACATAACATATATTATTACAAATTCAGATTTTGACCTTCGTATAAAAATGCAAGGACAAATAGGGTCATTCTTATACCCTTCATTTAGCAAATATTCACTAAGATGATTATACCACATTCGCCCTGATTGTTTCAATCCATATAAGAATTTCTGAAGCTTTATTGAACAACTTTATTTTGAATTTTCATATGCTTCAGGCACTTTGAGTGCTTCGGGGATTTTCATAAAAATATTGTAGTCTAGTGAGCCATATAAATAGGTTGTGACAACATCCATTAGATGCATTTCTAGCTTTACATGAATTGTCATATTTATTAGATACCTGAAGGTAATTGCATCTACCACAGGAGAATATGTCTCCTCAAAATCAATGCTAGCCCTTTGCGAAAATCCTTGTGCCACAAGTCGTGCTTTATATCTTACGACTTTACTATTTTCATTGCGTTTTCACACAAAAATCCACTTGTACCCAACTGGCTTGACACCTTCAAGGGTTTGAACTATTGATCCAAAAACTTCACGTTTTTCAAGTGAAGCCAATTATGTTTGAATTCTTTCCTTCCATTTTAGCCAATCAATTCTCTGTCTACATTCATTGACAAATATTGGTTCCAAATTTTCATCTTGTTGCATTATTTTAACTGCAACATTATAGGCAAAAATATTATCCACCACAATATTATTTCGATTCCACCTTTTTCTCATCGAGATGTAATTTATAGAGATGTCCTCATTCTCATTATTTTCAGGTCCATGGACCTCCTCTTTGGTGTCATCATTTATTATGTCTCGGAGCTCTTCATGAGCAATTGCCTCCATATTATGATCATCTTGATCATTTATTCCTTTCCTTTTCCGAGGATTTTTATCCTTGGAGTCAATTGGTCTACCACGTTTTAAATGTGGTCCAGACTCATTTGCCTTAACATTTTGTCTTATCGGGACATCAACTCGAACTTGAGCATTAGCAGCTGGGATATATGATTTAGTAACCCGTGGAAGGTTAGTGAACGCGTCCGGTAGTTGATTTGCAATATCCTGCAAATAAATTATCTTTTGGACTTCTTGCTTACATTGATTTGTTCGAGGGTCTACATGAGACAGTGAAAGTGAATTCCAATCTATCTCATTTTCCAACTGCTTTTGTTCTCCCCCTAATGTTGGGTATACTGATTCATCAAAATGACAATCAACAAACCTTGTCATAAATAAATCTCCAGTTCTAGGTTCCAAATATTTTATAATAGAACGAGATTCATACCCAACATATATCTCTAACCTTCATTGGGGACCCATCTTTGTGCATTGTGGTGGAGCAATTGAAACATATACCGCACAACCAAAGATTCTAAGATGGGAAATGCTTGGCTCCTGACCAAAAATCAAATGTAATGGGGAGATGTCATGATAACTAGTTGGCCTTATACGCAAAAGTGCCGCTGCATGCAAAATAACATGCCTCCAAACCGAAATAGGCAACTTTGTTCTCATCAACAATGGTCTATCTATCAATTGAAGACGTTTAATCAATGACTCTGCTAAACCATTCTGAGTATGAACATGTGCAACAAGATGTTCAACTGTTATTCCAGTGGATAAGCAATAATCATTAAATGCCTGAGATGTAAACTCACCAACATTATCAAGACGAATTATTTTTATTGCATAATCTGGAAATTGTGCTTTTTAACCTTATTATTTGAGCCAACAACCTTGCAAAAGTCGTATTGCGAGTTGATAATAAGTACACATGAGACCATCTTGTAGATGCATCTATCAAGACCATATAATAATTAAATGGTCCACATGCAGGGTAAATAGGCCCGCATATATCACCATGTATCCGTTTAAAAAATGCGGGAGATTCCACTCCAACCTTAGTCGTTGATGGTTTGGTAATCAACTTTCCTTGTGAACAAGCAACATAAGAGTATTCCTTTGAATGAAGAACATTTTGGTTCTTCAAAGTATGCCCATGTAAATTCTCAATTATTCTGCGCATCATATTATAATCGGGATGGCCCAACTGGTCATGCCAAATGACAAAATCATTAGAATCAGTAAACCTTATTTACCACGGCATGTGATTCAACCGTACCAATATTTGTATGGTACAATTCAGAAGAAAGTGCAGACAATTTTTCATGCACAATTTTTTTCTCCGCATTTATCATAGTGATGTAAAGGTATTCCACTTTTCCTTCATTTGCAGTCTCAACATGATAGTCATTTTGGCGAATAACCTTGAAACTTAATAAGTTTCTTTGAGACTTACTACAATACAATGCATTATTAATTATTAATATTGTTCCTCCAGGTAGTAATAAGGCCGCTCTTCCAGAGCCTCAATCAATTTTGTACTACCGGATATTGTATTAACATATGCCTTTTTCATTACCAAATGAGAGAAATATTTCTTTTCTCTTAGTATTGTATGAGTTGTGGAACTGTCCAGAAGGCACATATCTCCATTATTCATCTTGGATCCAACTGAAGACTGGAAAATTTTATTTATCTTCATAAAAATAAAAATACATAATAAGAAGTACGAAACTTAACAAAAGAAAATTTAAGTACATGAACTATAAGTAATACATTAAAAACGCATAACGACATTATTTATTTTCTAGTTGAATTATCAATCTTCAGTTGCGATCCCCAAATAAGCCCTCAGTTTCTAGATGAGTAATATCATCGAGCCCATGAAAAGAATCATCTTTCAATGCTAAATTTGCCTCAATATTCTCATCATATTTTTGAGAAGATTCTGCTTGAGCATCATCCTTGAGATTCAAATGTGACTCCACCTGGGTATTAGAAGAGGAGGCACCACCTTTCTTTCCTTTTCTTTTGAAGGAATTCCGATACAACCTGACAAAATGCTTAGGTGCTCGACATTCATTCTTCCAATGACCTTTAAGGCCACAATGATGACAGTGATCGCCCTTTCCTTTAGATGGATTATTTTGAGAACCTATATTGTCTTCTCTTTTGTTATGACCACCACATCGACGATTATTATATTGTCTTTTTCCCTTGCCACGCCCACACACATTTTCGTTGCCCCGATTATTTTGTCTTATTTCAGACTGGCCGTGTGCTTCTATCCCGTGTGCCTCGGTAATGGAACATTCCAGCGGGACGGGCTTCATGCTGGTCAGCCACCAAAAGGCACGAGATCAGTTCAGAGTATTTCTGAAAACCTTTTTCAAGATATTGCTGTTGTAATATCATATTAGAGGCATGGAAAGTAGTTAGTGTCTTTTCCAACATGTCCTCATCTTTTATAGTTTCCCCACATAATTTCAATTGGGAAGTTATTCTAAATACAACAGAGTTATACTCAATTACGATTTTATAATCGTGAAATCGTAAGTGCATCCACTCATAACGATCCCTTGGCAATACAATTGCCTTGAGGTGGTCATACCTCCCTTTCAAACCTATCCACAATTCAAGTGGATCTTTCACTGTTAAGTATTCAACCTTTAGGCTTTCATCAAGATGATGACGAAGGTAAATCATAGCTTTCGCTTTATCTTGACTTGATGCTTTATTTCCTTCAATTATACAATCACCAAGACCCTTAGAGGTAAGGTGAATTTCAGCATCAAGTACCCATGACAAATAGTTCTTTCCAGAAATGTCAAGTGCCACAAATTCAAGCTTTGACAAATTCGACATGTTGAAAACTATCATAAAATAGTTGAGTTAATAACATGATGTGATTTCTTTATAATAAAAGATAAATTTATGTTTCAAATGATTAAGAATTAGTATAAAGTATATTATATGCATGAACATGGAATGTTACAAAAACATGTAAACTCATAAAGTATGAAACAGTAGTTTTAATATATGTTCTAATTATTTTCCAATATTTATTTCTAGTTTCAATAGTTATTAACGTCAAACTTTTGTAAGTTTTTCAAGTCATATTTAATATAATACTACTCTCTTTATGACACATAAATATTTATCATAAATTTATGACAAGAAAATATTTACAAGTCTTCTAACTAGCATGTTATCACATTTCCTACTATTTAATTTAGAGTTATAAGTTAGTAGCATATAAACAACATAAAAATATAAACCTGAAACGTATTGATTATTATGCCTAGTAAAGTATTATAATAATACCTAAAGCAAGTTATATATGCAGTAATTAAATTACGGATCAAAGATTTATGCAAGTTCTATTAGAGATGTTATAAACACATAAATGTATACCTGACTCTAAAAGAAAGTTGATTAACTTTTACGAATTAATTTCAAATTAAGTAGGTCTCAGTTGGTTAGAGACTCGTGCTGATAACGTGTTGTAAAACATGAGGCAAATGCAAGAATACTTAAACAAGAAAGTAAGGCAAAGTATGATGAAAAATATAAAATTGAGAGCCTTATTTTAATCTCTTCAATGTGTGTTTCATAAGGGTGAAAAGACTACCCTTTTATAGGATTTAGAAAATACCCTTTTACATCCTTTAACCAAATACGTTAGCACAACTTTAAGTCTTATATTAAATAGGTTCATTCCTTTATGTTATTGATGAAAAGAAACATTCACAATTCAATGATTTTATAACACTATACATTTAATTAAATGTGATCACAAATTAAAAACTGATAAATCAAATCGGTGATGTGCACTCATAAATTGACTACACGGTTTGGAAGTGGGCTTGGGCTTCCAATTACAATTTTGCCCACATGCAGATGCTATGCCAGCTCATATTCAAGTCATATACGCCTTCATTTTGTATTTATTTTGCTTTCCTT